TTACAAGCCATCTCAACAAGCGTCCATTTCCCTAATATTAGCCAAGCGAACAAAAAATCTTTATGCTATCCGGTGATATTAAAAGGTTTCTTATTCATCCATATTCCAGGCTCGGAATGCCTCTTTACGTAAGTCTTTATTAGCCAGCTAACAGCTAACGGGGCCACGAAGCGCCCAAGGAATTGCGACTGCTCGATACCGATCGATTCCTGCTTTAATTAAGCTCTGATGGCATGATGCTAGGTCTGTTTACAGCATTGACCGCGGTATCCTGCTTGCACGGACGGCGTGTAGGATTGCCGTAACGTAATATGAATGGTTGAATGAATAAATTTTGATTAGTAATGTTATTTCTTTCATCCTTGTTCGGCGCTTGTTATTGAGTTGGTGTAAAAGAGGGCTAAGCCCAAGACAAGAATTCCAATAGTTCACTTTTTCGTTTTAGCGCTACTTGGATACTTCAAGCCAAGATCAGGACGATGGGTGGGAGATAGGGGCATGCATCCAAGAGCTTATTTTCTCGTTGTTTCTTGTAACATTATTAACGAGAAAAAGTGGCAGGCTCTATTTTCATGCTTAATGTTGTCGCCTTCGAAATCGATGCTTAAGTCGATCCACTTGCATTGGTGGTCTCTCTCTTCCCTCATCGCATGCGCTTCGCTTCGACCAGGGTTTAAGCCTTTGATTGTCCGGTAGAGTAGATTTCATCCCTCGATCTAGTCTTCTGTAACAATCTGATCTTTAACTTTATGAAATCAATTTTATTGGGGATCCTAGGTGGGGAAATAACAAGTCTCTTTTCTGGCTGACTTACAGCCGGGAGGCCAAGGGAGGCGTTTGGTCTGCTTGTCGCATACTACTAACCTAACTGCGAGTCAATCTATCTATCTATGTATTCTTGATGGTACGAAGCCTTTTTTCAAAGCCCTAAGGCAGGCCTTATAACTTTTTTTTAGTTTAGTAACCTAACCCGCCAGATACAAGTTTTGCAAAGTAAAGACATTCTTCAATGAGTGAAATCGAAATAGCCGCACAAGCATACACATAATCAGGAACGGCATATGGATCATCATACGCGGAAGGAATTTTATAATTTTTCTTTCTTATTCTTATTATTTTATTATGTTAAACTGTCACTAGGTTAGGTCAGCCCCCATTTGATCGACGATTTTACCGCTTTAGCCGACATTGATGCTGCCATTTAGAAATAAAGTAATATGGTTACGACTTGGTTGGTGTTCGGTGAGCCGATCAGAGAATAAAAAAAAAGATGTTTTTGGCATTTCTATAAGATCTTAACTTTTACTATTTTCATCTTTGAGCGGATGGATACGCATTCAGTTAGCTTTCTTACAGCATATATGCTCACAGCGGATACGACAAGACCGCTTATTCACTCAGCAACAACAGCGCATTCAATAGCAGCATTCGATTCGATGCTTCTTCCCTATTCTATTTGTAAACAACCGACCGAGGGGAAGTCAGCAGGAAGCCATAACTGCAAGAACCACAACGGACCGGTAGGATTGGCGAAAGAGTCTTGCAACAGTCTGTACAGGCCCCTTTACAAGCAAGCTAACAAGAACGAGGGAATCTCCAAACCAAAGAGCCGAAAAATAGCACGTAACCCGTGGAGGATAAAATAACCTTTTAGTTTAAGAATAATTAGGTCGGGATTAAAACCAATCAAATAAAAAAAGAGATAGGAAGCGAACATAACCGGTGACAGGATAATCAAAGAAATTATTATATTAAGTGGAGAAATTAAGATTTAAGAAAGAAAGACATTCCATGACCTCTAAAATTTCATGACACATTTTCTATTGATGGAGAAAGATATTATTACCTAAGTGCTTGTCTGTTCCTTGACGCGGAAACTTACGGAGAAAACATCTCATTGAAACTGAACCCAATCCTCTCATCTTAACTCTGACACCAATCTTCAAGAGACGGCTCTTGACCAATTCCTTTTGTATCGTACCTGGTCGAGCTCTACCTTGTACTTCCCGCCCGACTTTCAATCTATTTCTTATAAATCTGATTCACATCCAACAGCAGCAGTCTCTGTTGGTCCTCTTTTCCGCGTTAGATCAGAGCAAGACCTGTTAGAATCATCCCTAACATTTCCTTATTTAGTCAGGCCCAGGGTTAACCACAGGAGCAACCTTGGTTTTTCTTTACTCTCTAGCCCTACCTGAAACATTTACATTTCAAGTTCAATCTGAACCCTACTAAACGATTCCTCCCGGAATGAAAAGTACGCTTTATCGTTCCACTTCTTTCTGAACTCAAACAAGATTTCACTCGAGTTCAAGCTTTCGTCACTTAGTCAGAAGGGATCAACTCGGCATGTCAAAGAATCAGCGCTACCAGAACTTGGTCGTCTCCGCTGGGCAGGGCTCACCGCAAACCTACTTCCTCTTGGATCCTTTCCCACTGCCCTTTTCTTTCCAATTTCAACTCCAGTGGCCTGGTTCTTTTCTATGTAATTCTTTGAGTCGTTTTGTGTCTACCGCCTCATTCTCAGCCTCTTCCTACCTAAATAAGGCCCCCCTAGTCCTTCTTATCTATTCCTTAGAAAATGAAAGATTCATTCTTTAGCCAGATCAACATCCTTCTTCCTATTACCTATCTCCAGATCAAGATCCTAACATGATTAAAGCCATAACTCTACTATTGAAGTACTTAGTAATCCTACTTCCAATTCACTATCTACTTCCTTCGTCAGCCCTCCTCCATAGCTACCTTTGAAGGGAAAGCTGGCTAGACCAAGCCTAGTAATTAATTTAATAAGAGGGACAAAGGCCACTCAGGTCTATATCTAGAAAGGAGGCTGGATTGGAAGATTGAGAGACCCGGGACTGTGCAGGTTTGTAGAGAGGCTAGAGCATTACCTTCACAAAAATAGAATAGTAGGTAAGATTCACTAGCTAGAAATTGACTGATAAGGGTAGGGTTTGCAGTAATCGATGAGAGAATGGTAATGCTAAAGGTAGGAAGAAAGAAGGCTCATTCTATGCTGACCACTTACTATGGCTCTTCTCTCATTTGATTTGAGAATCTTATTTAAGCCATAGGCTATCGATTGGGGGAAGAAAGCATGCCTTTGTTGGTCACCATCACCACCATCATTAACATCGGTACACTCCTAAATAAGGCCTACCTCCCTTCCATTCAACCAGAGCAGCGATGAGAACAGAGACTAAATTAGCTAAGCAATGCATCAACGGGAGGATTCTGAAATTATCTTCTCATATGACATTCTACTTTGAGAAAGTCACTTATGCCTATTCCTTGATAGGAGAGGGAAAAGCATTAGGTCGGCCAGTACCAGAATGATGATGAATAAGTCTGAGGTGGGTAGGTGGGAATCCGAGGATTAAACTTCTGTTGATGAATGCATTCATATCATCATCTCTATCCCTTGCTCATTATAGGCCAAGCTCTTCCCTTCTTAAAGTACTTTGCCTTCAGCATCTCACTTGAATTGGAGAATGTATTAAGCATAGGATCATCCAGAGTCTGTAAAGTCTACCTCGCTTAGCTCAACCTTATCCATAGACGATCTCTATCTCTTCATTTCTATGGTACTCTTTGTAGTAGGTAACTTTATATACCTGAGCCACTTTACTAACCCTTAGCTTGTGTTCGATACCTCACGCCTTCACTTAATCCAAAATCTTGGCTTGCTTCGTGTTCCAACTCAGAAATATGAATACCATCGTTAGCAATAACTTCCCCTTCGCCTAATCCCTTTATCCCCTCTCCCAATCCCTTCTTTCAGTTGAATGTTTGCAAAGTCCGATAGAGTGGAAGAGAGAGCGGGATTAAGAGACTTAGAGGACATATGCTACTAAAGTCCTAACATGGGGGCATAGCGTTTTGACTATATCCTTCCTTACTTGTCGGCGTAACGACAACTAATGATTTAATACCTAGCTTATTGATGAATTCAGCGTAAGAAGTTAATACTTCCACTTATTCCCTAGAATAGAAGACATGGAGGCCTTACAACTTTTCAGGATCTATTACCTGCATGACAGGAATATTAAATAGACATGAAATCAACGGGAAGCCTATTCCTACCCTAGTTTATTGGCTCTTAGGTCGGTGAAACTGTCCCTATAGCTAAATTCAAGCCAGGAGTTCGCGTTTTAGTTTGAGTTCAGGACAGGAAAGTATGGGACCTAATTAAATGGAGTACTTGCGCCCACTCTCGATGCCTACTTTATTAAATGAAGGACAGGGCAGGCATACTCTTTGTTAGACAGAAGGAAGGATTGGACTGGTGCTATAGATTTCCCTTTTTCCAGCCATGTAGGTTTTCTTGAAGCACAAGCCATTCTAAGAGCGCCATTCAAGCCTTAGCCTGAAAAAGGCTAAAAACTGTTGGGAGAGTCCTGGGCGGTCCGGCGACCATTGCCCCTTTTCTTTTGGATGTAGCTATTTCCTTACATATAGAGGAATCAAGGAGATTCGTATACGCCCAGAAGCTCGCAAGACCCACAGCGCCTTGCTACAATAACGAGTGGCTAGTTCGTTTGATATCTAGGGGATACCCGTCTACTTCGCTTCACCAAGCAGACCCCACGTACTTTAATTGTCCGTCTTCTACTACGAACCCGACCCATAGGCCCATACCTTTCTCGACCGAAGCCATAAGTAGTAGTTTAACGCTTGATCGAAGCGGCAGTTACCAGGCCCGACCCAACTATCCCAGGGCAGAAGGACGCAAAAAACCCAATGTTACAGGGGCTTGGGATGCCTCACCAGGATGAGGCGGTAGCACTTGGCGTGAGTGCGCTAATAAACCAACCCATTTGATAAGAAACCCTATCGAGTGTACGCTTTCGGTTAAGTGAAGGGATAGACTGAACCAGCTCACTAACGAAATTTAAGATCGGGGAATGTTACCCGAAGCATATCTCGTTGGATGGATGTCGTTGCCGCGAAGTTAGATTTTATGGGACTTTCACAAAGCGGACTACTATCAGTAGTATATGCCTTCCCTGGGAAAAGCGGTAGAACATCCTGATCTCAAAGGAGAGCCTTGCTTTTTCTGTGCTGAGTCTATAAGCAAAGAGGGGGTGCCCAGTACACTTGAGATGCGTCCCAAGGTCGCCAATGACCAGTACTGTAACTGAAAGCCAGGGTATCTTACCCTAAAAGGAAGAGTTGGAAGACTTTCTTGGTTTAAATCTAATAGTAGCTAGAACCAGTGAAAGGGTAGTTCACCAGACCCGCTCACGATAATGCGAATGAAACGGCAGATAAGCCTATTACTGGTTACGGCGATAAGATCCTAACAAACGGCCGGCCGGTTTACATTTACAACAAAAAAAGAAAAGATAAGGCAATTAAGGGATGAAAGATAGCGGCAGACTAAGGAGTAAATACTGACTCTTTCTCTTCTATTCTATGGAACACATTTAAAGACTGACTGACCTACTAGAGGGAATAATTACTCCTATTGACCGAAGGCTAAAGGAATCCTATTCTTTTTTCACAATCGCCAATCAGATGTTAGGAATCGATTGCAGCGAGAAGCCTCTCTTGGCCAAGAAGCAAGAGTTCTGGTGCGGGAGTAAGATTCTTATCCAATCTGTCTATTAGTGGAATCCCCTAAAATAAATCTTAATCTCGTGTAAATGAAGGGAAATTTGATGGCTTAAAGGAGCTTTTAAGCCACTCTTCTAATTCCTCTTGGGTTATTTCCGATCGGGTCTTGCCAGGGGTTAGTGCATTGATGCCGAGAATACGCTGTTTGAAAGGTAACTTGATCTAGATGCGGAGTCTAGTTTGCACTTTATGGTACAACTTTTTATCCTTTAAATAAGAGGAGGTGGTCAAAACCTTAGGCAGCTCGACGCATCTAGTTTCGGTCTTGCTAACGGGCGACAAAAGGATGTTGGCCTTCCCATTTGAAGCGGAGAAGGGGACCCCACAGAGATCTACCTGGCCTCGCCGGCCAGTCTGCTGATTGTCCATATAAAGTATTCTGCAAGCTTCTGGGGCAGGTCGCCTCTTATTTAATCGTATATATATAATGGAATATATAGTTGGGGGTTGATCGCTAGTCTTTTAATCCACAAAAACCTCCTAAATACCTATCTTGGCATCTTTAATTGAAAAATGCGTATGGTAAGTAAGAATAAGAATGAACGGAAGGATGAGTCGATTAGATTAAGAGGAAGGAGGAGTAGGCATCAACCTAGTTAGTCGTTCTGAGTGAAGCTGAGGAGGTTCTTGGACTAGTTTCTCATGTATATAAATAATAAGGCTCCTTCTTTCTAGAAAGGGTAGTTTTTCCTGCCTATCTGTTCCTATGTGTGAAAACGAGTATGTGAACAGAACATCTTTCAAACATCGAGATTGGGTTGGCGGTCAGTAAGGAAAGTCGGGTGTGGCGATCCGATCAATGAAAATAAATCCTGAAATTACATATATAATGATAGAAAGAATCGTTCAGTAGGCTAATCTTGACAGTTTCCATTTTCGATTGAGAAAGCGGCAGGCCCAAAGAGCTCTACAGTAGTGCCTCCTTGCTTGGTCTCAACAATTTGGATTTGACACGGGAATGAAGACTTTTTAGAACAAATATTAAACCTTCACTCTTTACCAAGATAATACGAATGAAGTTATTAGTGCTACCTAGCCCCGTCTAGATGGAGAATCTCTTATATGATATAAGTTGTCGCTTCGCTCGAGTGACTACGTACCTGCCCCTTCGACATAGATGATTGGACTGTCTTTCTTTGGCCTATAAGAATGGCACTTGCCTTTTCTTGGTCGGTTCAAATCTGGCCCAGTCCTAGGTATGCACGTAACAGACGTTCGTATGAACTAGAACCTTTCTTTTGATCAATAGAACAGGAAGAGGAGTCAGCCAAAAAGAAAGAAAACAAAAAGTAATGACCACCAAGATAATTCATATATTATTTAATATATGGCCCATTTTTTCAGATAATTGTTGTTTTTATCTTTCATATCCTTTTTATCTGTAAGTCTGGCTCTTGGTAATATTTTTATCTTAAAAGCAGTATTCGCATACAATTCCGCTTTAGGGCTGCCAGTTGAATTCCGGGCTTCCTGGAATAAAATTTTTGTGAAGGGACTGTATCCCGGTAACTAGGCCCCCCACAAACGGTTCCTGACATATCTGAAACTCTATTATTAAAACAAATCGCGGAGAACTCTTATATCGTTTTATTTCTTACTTTTTTTATAATATTCCTTCTGAGTTGTTCCATTGTTTTTTTTAGTCAGACTTCTAGAACTAGAATAAATCCGACTAAGGAAGAAGAAGCAAAAATAGGTTTCTTTTTGGGGCAAATTTCTTTTCCCGTGGCCTGCTTCATTTCTCTATTTTTCCTATCTTATAGCGGGTTGGCTCTAAAAAATGAGCTGAACATTATTTATTGCTTTTGCCAGAATATTAGCTCCGGGCTTGCTATGACGTTTGAAAGTGGTCATGAGGCGATACACTTAACAGTCTACCCCCCCCCCCCCCCTTACCTAAGAAGGTAGCTTGTCTCGCCCAGGAGGTGGGAACAGTTGAAAACAAAGTGGCAAACGGGTGAGAGGGCCTTCGATTTTGATTCTTTTTCTTGAGGGGGATTATGTCTGTCAGAAATAACTGAGTATGTAGTATCGATTATAAGTTAGGTCTGATGTGAAAAAGATACAACTTTTTTTAATAAAATATACGCAATATTTTACATCGATTATAAGTTAGGTCTGATATAAAAGATATGATTTTACATAGGTGGCCATATTGGTCTGATGTAAGAGATGTGTTTTACATCAGTTGCCTTAATTGTCCGATGTAAAATGTTTGTAATTTTTAGGAAAAAATTGACTATTTTTCAGCGGATTCCCTGTAATTTTTTTGGTACCTAATTTTTCATATTTTCCTAACATTACACAGACTATATTTAGGTAGCTATTTTCATATTTTTTAACCAAACTAATTTCATTCCACCAAATCTATGATGCATTATATTCTTCAAAATAAACAATTGAGTTACAACATGAACAATTGTATTATAAAATTATAAGGAAGTTTACACGATGCACTACAATAACAAAAATACAAAAATATCCAACCATTTATAAGTCTTTTCCCACACTTGAATTACCAATATGAAATCCACAAGTAGATGAGTTGTAGCTTCGGTAGACAACACAAAAATCACATATGCTGACAATAAATAATAATATCAAATCATATATATATATATATATATATATATATATATATATATATATATATATATATATATATATATATATATATATATATATAAAATTTGTAACTAGGGTCACCTACATAAGTCAAAGGATTCTATGATGTTTGATTTTGAATGATATCTAGTATCTATGGGCAAACTTTCTTCGTAACCCAGATAACAAAACTAATTCCCTCATTTTCATTCTATCTGAACAATTTAATAAAAGCATGATAAATACTAAATATGTATGTGATTGCAAATATGAAATCATTCATCCGGTTAATATCGAAGGGGGAATCATCCTCAGCTAAATACATATGTTAAGGCCAATAACCGTCTCCATTATGATTGGAAAGCATTTTATTATGTTATACAAACACAATAATTAAAATAACCCAGGCAACCATGAGTTTTTAGAATAGGTCAAACCAAATTAACAAAGCTTTGTGAGACTTAAAAATCCATTTTCATGTTAACTTACTAACAAAGAGATGGAAGACTCGTTTAACAAGCAATTGTGACAAAGAAAATATGGAATGGAAATGAGTGAAAGTGAAAACAGGAAACATGGAAGAAAGCAGACATTAAAATCTTAAAGAATCATGTTCTATCCAAACCCAAAGCTCACTGTCATTTAAGCAAGTACTACACACACACACACTAAACAATCATCTAACAACAACTACTCTTCCTACAAAAATTATGATACCTCACATGTTTTACTATTTCTTCTTTTCTTTGTTTTTTCAGGTATTCGGTGCGGTAATAACTAGGTATCAGAGCCAATGGAGCTCTAAAAATACTCTCATCCTAATCCTACATACACACACATAATTGTCGTCTACGAAAGCAAAACTAGTTGGAAATACTTCAAGCACCCCAAAACGCAAAATGCCGGCACGTATAACCTATAAAATATAGTACCACTTCACAATTTCAATATCATCAAAATCATATTCCAACAAAATTCAAAACTCATAGAACTTTCAAATCACTACATTATAAGCTCAATCCTACTAATTTATACAAAATCAACAAAAATATGAATCACCGATTCATAGTAACGCTAAAAACACTTCTATTCATGCAAAAATTATTGAAAAATTAAAATGAATATATGAAAAATTAAACTGAATATATGAAAAATTGTTGAACAAAGCAGAAAAAAGAAAATGAAGTGAATCGAGACCAAATAAACATAGAAATGAGAATGAAAAAAATAAAATGAGAAGAAACGACAAAATAGTATATACGATTACGCACCAATGAACAAAGAGCTCTGATCTATCACACATATCTCTCTTTCTCTAATTATTTCTCTGTGTGTGGCTCTGAGAGAGTGTTAGTTTGGGTTTTGAAATAGAACGAAAGAAATGGTGGTGACAGAGTTATTCGCTGGAGAAGCCGCTAGAGAAGTCACATCCAGTCGAGATGAGCTACACCGAAGGTGGTTCGGAGGGCTTACGAAGGCAAGGCGGAGATGGAGGTGAAAAAGATGGAGTTCGTAAGGAGACAGAGACAAAGGCGAGAGAGAAGGTTTGAGAGAATGTAAAAGTGAAAGGACAAAATATTAGGATTAGGGTTTTATGAAAATAAGAGGAGGTTTTTACATCGGTTGGCCAATTGGCCCGATGTAACGACCAATAAAAAATTCACCTTATTTACAAAACTATCACGGTTTTTTTGTTTTTTATTACTGGAAGCTTTTACATCGGTTGGGACAATAACCAATGTAACGTCCAATTTTTTATTTTATAAAAAAAATCCACCTTATTTACAAAAAAACCACCGTGTTTTTATTTTTTATCACTGGAAGCTTTTATATCGCTTGGGACATTAACCCGATGTAACATCCAATTTTTTATTTATCCATCTTATTTACCAAACTACCACCGTGTTATATTTTTCCCTAAATCAAATATTTTTCATATCATTGGAAATAAAGGTCTGATGTAAAATCTTTTGACAAATATTTTTTATATCATATATTTCTATACTTGATATAAAGACCTTTTCTCAAATGTCATATTTTTAGTAGTGAAAGTAGGAGGGGTGGGTGTTCACATGTTAGAGGAGGAAGAGCACCTGACTAAGGAGAGATAAATATCTTTGAAAAATGAGAGGATTTTGTTTGATC